TTCACAGAAAAAGAACTATAAATTCCTGATAACCATAGGAAAGAAGCACAACTTGTAAGCAGGGAAATGCAAAACAAAATAAGATAACCACTTAAAAATCTAATTAGGAAATGTTTAAAACTTATGTGCAATCTTAGGATATGGGGAAACAGGTGTTCTCAAACACTGTTAATGAGACAAGTTCTTTTTAAAGTTTTTGGTAGCTTTTTAAGGTTTTGGGGTATTTTTATTTATATTTTATTATGAATATGCCCCTATACTCATCCTACTCCAACAGTTGAAAAACACAAAATCAATATTACTTCACCTGCATTTTCTATAAGTGGTCCTTAAGTGTCAGCTGAATTGAATCCAAGCTTTTATTTTGGCAAGGTAATTTATAAGTGGTATTATTTCTTGTATCACATTGTGTAGAAAATAATCTTCACCTTTCTTTGTGATACCATGAATGAGCAGGTTCCAGGTGTTAGTCTGATTATTCACCCACTGTTTGAGAGCAATTGCTTTGCAGTGTGGAGTGGGTAACTCAGAATTTCCACCCAAATAATTCAGAAGTTATTAGTAAATGCATGTAAGCTCTTTACTTTTTTAAATTTATTTTTGCCACCACTTCTGCTTTTATTTTTATGCTGTAGATTTTAAAACAGATTACAGATGTCTTCTCATTTCAAAATTAAATATGTTAGTATGTGGCTATGGTTTAAGGACTTCAAAAATAAAATCCTTCTACACTGGACTTTGACACAACATTATAAAATGATTATAAATCAATAAAAAATGTTAAAAAATCTTATTTCAGTTCATTATTACAATGAATATAAGTCTTTAGGATCATCTAATATCTATTACATTTTCAAATTTCCATGATTGACTCAAAAGTTTGTTTTGTATTTTTCTAGCTTGAGTTAAAACCCGAAGTCCACCTATTGCCTTGGTTAATACTTCTTAAGTTTCCTTTAATCTTTATACTAATGTAGTATGTAGTTCTCCTTTTTTTCCCCCCGTTTGCCCAATACCATTTCTTTGAGGAAACTGGGTCATTTGTTTCAAAATTTTTTCTACATTCTGGGTTTTGCTGTTTAAAAGACCAGAGAAAAGACATTACTCCCAGAAGAGCTCCTTCCATCTCACATGTGTTTTGTTGATTTCTTGTTATAGTGGGTTGGGGGAAGGGTCATTTGGGACAAATCACTGAACAAAAACAAAAATCCTTTTCTTTCATCGCATTTACATTCCCATTCCAAGAGAGGTAGACAATAAACAAAAATGAATCATAAAGTTTGTTAGACATCTGGAAAACAATAGAGGATAACAAGGGAATAGGGAGATGTAGGACCTTGATGGATGTGTAAGATGTGTGGCTGCCAGTGGGAGGCTGGAAGGCTGGAGCAGAGGAGTAACATCTGATTTACTTCTAAATGGATTGCTCTGTCTGCACTGCAGGGGGTGAAGGAGCAATGGTGGAAAGCTACTCTGTAATTCAGGGCAAGAGATAGTGGAGGCTTAGATGGGGGAGAGCCAGGGAGCAGGAGAGGAGTCAAGGACAATGGTGAGGTTTCTGACTCCAGTGGCTGGAACAACTGATACAGAATGTCTTGTCACTGCCAGAGGCTGATTAGTTGCTACCATTTCCATTCACAATTCTATTGGTAAAGGACTCGTGAAACCTGATGCTTTTTGAAGGTTGTGTTATATTAAAAGTCTTCTGATTTTTTTTGTTGTTGTTTGATGCTTAAGTTGTTTTTCTTAATTTTGTAAAATGCTTCCTGTTTTGCAAATTTCTTATTTAATGGCATTTAAAACTACTTATTAGACATTGCAAACCTTTAGAAATTTACAGATTGGTGAATTTTAAAATTTTTATTAGGGGAAGGTAATTGTTTGTTTATTTACATCTAATAGAGGTACTAGGGATTGAACCTAGGACCCTGCTAGGCATGCACTCTACCACTGAGCTATATCCTGCCCCCCCCCCGTTTGGATTTTTAATAACAATTGTTCCTGGCTCTTTTTGAAAATTTTTAAAACTTAAAAATTGAAAGAATAGTAAAATGAATAGTCATTCCCATCATCTAAATTCAACAACTGACAAATTAGTGAAATTTTGTGACATATGCTTTAGAAGGTGTATGTGTACCCTTTTTTTAACCAAACCTTTTAACAGTAAGTTGCAGAAACAATGCTGTATGATTATCTGATATAGTGAGATATATTCAAAATTTTTCCTACTGTCCCCTTTTCATCCAGGAGCCAGTCCAGGATCCCCCGTTAGGTTGTCATGATTCTTGTCTTCTTTAGTCTGTACAAGTCTCCTACCTTTACTTTAGTCTTTTATGACATTGATACTTTTAAGGAGACAAGGCCAGTTGTCTTGTAGAATGTCCCACAATCTGGATTTGTCTGATCATTTCCTCATTATTAGATTCTAATTAAGCCACACAGATGTGCTTTTTACCTTTTGAAGACTTAAAATCCCTGGAATTTTACAAAGTCTTTTGTAAGTATCAGTTTCAGTTATGACAAAATGCTAGTAAAGCACTTGATCTTATAATAACCATTGTCAGAGAGCCAGAGAACATTAAATTGCACGGACCTTTAGATTTTATCTCCAGAAGTCACAGACTGCAGGAAACTAGCAGAATTAGCACAGTCTTAAAACAAAACAGAAACAGACAGCTAGAATTTGAAACCTTTAGGAATGACATGTGATTTCAGACTTGACCTAGTCCTTTTTGTTCTTCCCCTGCCCTCTGCCATTGTAAATTATCCATGCTGCCTTGAGTCTTTTGAGCATGTGATTCCCTGCCTACCTCTCTGATGAAGCTAGGGAAACTTCAGGCTTAGAGAGGCCAAATTGCTAAGGAACACATACTTAACAAGAGACAGAATATTCAGATCCTGGAACCCCAGTCTCTTGAAGAACCAATTAATTTTCTACCAGAGCTCCAGTGACTTGCATTAATGGAACAAATAGAAAGTCTGTGATCTTGGCACCTTCTGTGATTAAGGAAGATGAAGAAATTAGGGACACCACCGAATGAAGTTCTATCTTAAATATAACACCTTTCTTCCTTTTTTTAGCTACAAGGCTTTGGCCGACCAAGTGTATACCATGCTGCTATTGTCATCTTCCTTGAATTCTTTGCGTGGGGCCTATTGACAACTCCAATGTTAAATGTAAGTATTGCTGAACTCTAGGTCCTTGTTTATGAGATCAGAGACATTTGTACGCATATGTCCCCAGGGCTATATGTCTAGGTATATGTTTGAGAGTAGTTCTAGACAGTGACGTCAGACTGTTTACCACTGAGTTGTTTCCACTGTGTAGACGGTGAACCACCTGAAACAAAACACCTGAGCTGCCTATTAAATATTCCTGGGTGGCAGGGCCACTGCCATTGAACCAAAATGTTGGGAGTGCTATGAATGATCTACAGTATGTATATTTAGGAAAATTGTTAAGATGCCCTAGAGGAAATTATTGCAAAACTTTGTTGAAGTTTGTAACTTACTTTAGATAGATGTGATGGCCTTTGACTTAAGAGTATAGTAAATAGGAGATTGGTAAGTACCTTGTAACAATGACAGTGATGAATGTAAGAATGTTCCAATTTCCATTTTTGATAGCTGACCTACAGCCATGTCTTTGCAGAGAGTGTTGAATTTCTTAGCAAGAATTTGGATGTTTGATGTATGGTGTTGTTAGAGGGAAGGGAAATGCTGAAGAAAAGATAGTGGTGCAGATTTTAGGTGCCTAGTAACTACTTAACACTTAGTTTTAATAAAGATATTTTTTAATTGGCCTTCCATTTCAGTTGTCTTAAATTGTTCTTTAAAAATGACTGGTGATTAACTGTTCCCAATCACCATTTTGCCTTACCAGAGGATCTCTTTGTTTACAGATAATCTTTGTTCCCAAATTAGGTTTAGAAAATAGAGAACTTTGGAGGGTGGCTTTCAGCCTTACATATAACTTTGCTGTACACTTGGATGGAGCAGTCAGGTTAAAAAATTTGCCTCTGTTTTTAATCCTCTCTTTTATTCTTTCTCATTGCATTGCCTTTTTCTTCATAGTGCTTACTACGGAAGGTAACTGGTTATTAGTTAATGGGGATGAGTGGTCCCCATTTTAAGTTTCATGAGATCCTGCCTGTCTTTGTTCATCACTGTGTCCCTAGTGCTTGTGGCACGGCTGACACTCAGCATGTATTTTCTTTGAACAGATGTTTGCATTGCAGGTATACACATATATGTCCTTGAGTGATTGCTTCTCCAAGACGTATTTTTAGTATAAAGACACACCAGGCCACTCATTTTAACAAACTGCTTTAAATTTTGGCCTTGGTTCTCTGATTTTCTTGCCCACAGTTTCTTTAGGTTGCAAAGTTAACAGTTTCTAAACAGTATTTTTCCGAGGCAGTTAGTTACTTCTAATCTGTTGTAATGGTTCAGCAGGTTTCTCAATATAGAACAACCCTGTAATGATTATTTGGTAAGAATTCAAATTGAAATGAAGAATACCTCAGTGTTTCTGATACGGTGTCAGAAATTCTAAAACCTCCCTCCAGACAGTTAAAAATCCTTGGGGCTTTTTGACCCTTGACCCTTTTAAATCTAATTCATTAGTTATTTAATGTGCCCCAGGACCTGATGCACCTTCTTCCTTCTTACTGCCCCAAGCAGATAATTTTCTTAAGGTTTCTGTGTCCCTGTTAGACCCTGGAATGCAGTTTTGCTGCTTGCAGAGATTTGGTTAAAATGAGCATTTCTATGAGGAGTATAGAGTTGCTAGCCCACTGTACGGTGTCATAGAGGAAGTGTTGCTCAATTTGTAGGTATGTTCTCTTTTCTAAGCTCTTGGTGTTGCTAAATTAAGCTACATGTCCTTTACTTTCCTATCTCCCCAGCCTTTACACCACAGTTTGCTAACTCTGTTTCTTTTTTGATGTCAGGAAACTGGTTCACTTCTCCTTTTGAAAAGATTTTCTCTGACATACACCCTCCACTTGCTGCCTTTTCTGGTTAGATAGAGAAGTGATACTGTTAGGTTGTTTGATAAGGAAGGGACACAAAAAGAGTTTATTTCATTACAGCTGGAGTTTGTCATTTTTTTAAAGAAAATTTTAAAGGGGGAAGGTAATTATGTTTACTTATTTATTTGGTGTGTTTTTTTGGAGGAGATACTGGGGATTGAGTCCAGGACCTCCCAGCGTGCTAAGCATGTGCTCCTCCACCACTTGAGCCATCCCCTCTCCCCTTCGTCTGGAGTTTGTTATCCTCTTCCTTTATGCTGGGGTTTACTATAACCCAGTTCTAGTTCTTGGAATCTTGATTCTTCACCCACCGTGCTGTAACTATAAGGATGATGGTACATGTGTATGTTCTTTTTTTTTCCTCCCCACTTGCTGTAGCTAATGGATATCACCCTGTGCTGTTTCTTCCATCAAGGAAAGAAAAATAGTCTTGAGATCAGAATTGATAGATATAGAACAGTATATTCATATTCACATTTTGTCCAGTCTGACTACCTCTGCATCCTAGCATTTATTAGGACCCTCTCTTTGAAGTACTGTAGAACAGTATACTTCTTAGTTATTTTCTCTGTGAAATCTGTTGCCTGTCTCATGTGGCCACGTTCTAGATTACAATTTAGTTTGCTAATTAAGCATCAGAAAGGTGTCCACTCTTAATACACTGAAGCAAAGCTGCGAAGTTGACCTCTCACGATGGCTTTAACCTTCTTGGAGCAGTAGTAGTTCACACATAAAAATGACCTCTTTCTCATCTTACAGCCCTGCCTCTAGTCCTGTCCAGAGGGCCTGATCTCATTTTATTGTAAATAAAGTGCTCTGATTAAACTTATTTAAAACTCATCAGGTATATTTAAATAGAGCATTTATTTCAGTGAAGATGTATTTAATATTAGTTCCTGTGAAGAATTTGATTTTTGCGTTTTGCAGATTTTCTTTTGCAAGCTGACCTTCTTGGACCCCTGCTAGAGATTCTAAGGGCTTAACCCTATCTTCTCTCTATATAGTATCTAATAATCCAGCGAATGCTCTTTAAACACTTTCCTGCCGCGTTTGGTTTTCCTATCCCTTCTTACTTACTTACAAAATATGTTTTCATTCGACAAACATACGCTATCTTGTCAGCCCCCTGTTTGCTCCATAGTCCAGCCCTTCTGCTTTCTTCGCTTTAATCAGTGTTTCTTCTTGGGAGCTGAGGTGGGTGGGATGGATAGGGCTGTTTGTCAGGCATTTTTGGCATAATACTCAGACACTTTGAGGCATGATTTGCTCTCCACATGAAAGGAAGTTAAATTCTAACATTGTCCCATTGAAACTGTCTTGCTGTCAGGATTCACAAGATGTTCCAGGCTTATCTTGTATTTTAACAGTTTCCTATTGGTGTATTGACCAGAGTACCCAGAACCTACCCTCTTGTGTACCTTATAATTACTCAAATAAGTAGCATTCACTAAAGGATCTATAACATACGACGGTAGTGTGTTAAATCTGCTTCTTCTTGCACAGCTGACTGTTAGAATATAATGAGCATTAACTAATGTCATTTATTTCTGTCTTACTGTGTGTTGTATGTTGTAGTCTGTAGCATACTTTAATACCTAAAAACTTGGGAATGCTTGAAAAAAAATACTGATTTCCAGTTTACCTAATTAATACAATTATAAGAAGACTTGACGTAGAAATATAAATGAACCATTGGTGGGTTTCTTTGTCTCAAAATTTGGCATATAAAATATTTGATGTGCATTCTGGTCTTTTGATAGATTTTTCCGCACTTTTAATATATCATTATATTGCTTTCTGGCGTCCATTGTATCTGATGGGAAGTCAGCTATTAATAAGTATTGTTCTCCTTACGTAAGGGGTCTGTAGACTATGGTCCAGAGGCCTGATCTGGCCCACTGCCTGTTTTTATGTGGTCCGTACACTAAGAATGCTTTTTACATTTTACATAGTTGGAAAATATCAAAAGAAGTTATTTGATGACACATGAAAATTACATGTAATACAAATGTTAAGTATCCATAGCAAAATATTGTTGGACCCTAACGATGCCCATTGATGTTGCAACTTTTGGTCTACAATGGCACAGTTGAGTGGTTGCAACACAGACCATCTTCCCTAAAATATTTACTGTGTACTGTGTGTTCCTTATTTGTAGAATAATTTTGTCAGTCCCTTCTATGAGTGGTAATTCCTTTTTTTGTTGTTGTTGTTGCTGTAAATATTTTCTATCTTTCAGCGACTCGACTATGCTATAATGTGTCTAGGTGTGCATCTTTTTTTGTGTTAATGTTACTTGATGTTTGTTTAGCTTCTGGGGTCTGTAGATTAATATTTGTATCAAATCTGGGTATTTTTTGGCCATTAGTTTTTCAAATATTTTTGTTGCCCCTTTGCTTCTTTCCTTTGGGAATGCCATTACACTTGATAGTTTCACAGCTTTCCGAAAATTACTGTCAGACTTCTGACTTTTGCTATAACAGAAGATCAGCAAACTCTGCCCTAATAAAGCTGGACAAAACAGGCAAAAATAACCATTTCAGTGCTCTGTAAGTTCAACCATAGACACACAACAGCGGAGCATTTATTTACTAAGCTACTAAACTTCCGACAAGAACAGTGAGTTTGCAGTTCTGAGCTCTAGCCTTTTGCCATAGTTATAACTGTCAGTGTAACAGTTTCTGAGTCCTGTGACTCAGGACTTTTAGCAGATCACTGAAATCCATTCTGTTGGTGATGGACATTGGGGTTTCCTGTGCTTGCCTATTACAAGTATTGCTTTAGTGATATTTCCTATATGTCTGTGAATAATGTATACATTTTTTCTTGTTTCTTGTAATATATATGTAGGAGTGAAATGGCAGGGTTTTGTTCAGTTTGGGTATATACTGCCAAAAGTTTTCCAGAGTGGTTGAATCAGTTTACCCTCCAACAAGCCAGTCTCCACAACTTTATCAATTGGTATTTCATTTTAGTCATAAGTACAGTGTGGCCTTAATTTGCATCTTCCTAATGATCAGTGAAGTTGAACACACCTTTATGTATATATATTTTTTACTTTTTAATGTTTCAGTTACATTAAGTAGAATTGTTACAATTTGCACATATACAATATAATGCATGTAAATACATATACACAATATA